TTCTCCTGCCTCAACCTCCTGAGTAGCTGGGACTACAGGCACCCACCACCATGCCCGGTTAATTTTTTTCACTAGAGATGGGGTTTCACCATGTTAACCAGGATGGTCTTGATGTCTTGACCTCGTGATCCACCCACCTTGGCCTCTCAAAGTGCTGGGATTACAGGCATGAGCGACCGAGCCCAGCTGATATTTTTCTTTTGATTTAATAATTTTATGGATAGGCGCATTGGTTCATACCTGTAATCCCAGCACTTTGGGAGGCTGAGGCAGGTGGATCACCTGAGGTTAGGGGTTCCAGACCAACCTGCCAACATGGTGAAACCCGTCTTTTCTAAAAATACAAAATTTAGCCAGGCATGGTGGCAGGCACATATAGTCCCAGCTACTTGGGAGGCTGAGGCAGGAGAATGACTTGAACCTGGGAGGTGGAGGTTGCAGTGAGCTGGGTTCACTCCATTGCACTCCAACCTGGGTAACAAGAGTGAAACTCTGTTTCAAATAATAATAACAACTTTACATAAAAACAAAGGAAATACAATGAACTCAGTTAACCTCATGAATTATAATTCTTTTCTGTGTTCTATTTTATTATGTCATATAGCAGGAAACAAATACATAAAAGATTCTATAAGAAAGTAGAAAAGGTGAATTTCAGAATCAACAGTCCACATGGAGGAGATAGTAAAACAAATAAAATTCAGATTTTATTGGAACGTTCGTTTAATGCCAAACATATGAAACACTTAAAGAAGAATAACATTTGTGATTAATCTTTAATACTTAATTTTTTATCTTATCCAAGTTTGTAGAAATTGCTAATATTTGTGACAGGAATAGTGATTAAACCTGGTTTCATATTAAAAAGATAGTATACATGTCATTTGTAGTATGACTGATGACGTATTGTATGAGTAAGAATGGAAGTGGTATAACCAATGCCCTGGCCTAGATATCCTTTACCCATATGTTATTGCATGCCAGATATTGTGTCAGTCTGAGATACACAGACGAATGATCCCTACCTTGGGTATCTTGTTTAACAGACTGTAGAAGACAAACATGTGAATAAAGAGGGTGGTACTGGCATAGAAGTCTGTACAGGCACAGGTTGTGCCGGGGACAGAAGGGAGCATAGAAAATCTAACCAGATATGAGGTAAAGCCAGAAGGGGCAACATGGAGAAGTTTGAACTGAGTTTTAAAAACTCAGTAGCTGTTTGTCAACCGAGAGGATTAAGGTAAGAGAGGGAGGCAAAGACATTCATGCAGACAGGGAAAAGGGGATTCAAAAACAGTGTGCAAAGTGCATTATGCACTTTCAAACTTTATAAAGTCTGATATGAAGTGGGACACAGTGGAAGAGAGTACTTGAAAGATAAAGAAGGCAGAGACCAAATTACAAAGGCCTTGCCTGATACACTAAGGAGTTTCACTCTATCCTGTAAACCTGTTGTTTCTAAAATTTTTTTTTAAATTTTTTGCCCCACAAGATGTATATAAGTTGATCCAT